AACTAATTAAATTAGTTATATTTATATTATATTTTTAATATTTGAATTGAATAAAATGTCAAAAAAATATGTTAAATTAAGTATATACTAATCATTTTTTTCTTTTGTTATTTGGTTTTTATTGTTTAATTGATAAAAATACAAAACTCTTTAACGTGTATGAATAGTGTCTAAATAGTAAACTGTAAATATAATCAAATGTCTACTATTGAAATTAATAAGTAAGTGAAGTAAGTTAAGAGATGAATAAGTGTTATTTTTTATTGTGTAATATAAAATAATAATAATAATAATATGCAATATTTGTTTCTCTGCGAGCAATGAGAATCAATCTTATTCCTTTTTCCTATGCATTGATTCTTTCTGTCTTTTTTAGCTCAAATCTGTGTCTTGAAATATGAATTTGTTTTGATTAATGATTTTTTTAGCATAAGCTCTTAAGTCATACGCTAATGATGTAATTAATTTACCTTTTAATCATAAGTTATATAAAAAAATAAAATATGAATTTAATTTTAATAACTAATTAATTAAATTAATATATGTGATATTGATGTTAATTAAAACCAATATCAATTAATTTTAGATTAAATGTAAGTTTTATATTAAAATTCACATGCATAATTTTTTTTTAACCCAAGAATTGAATTCATTAGTAATTAAGTGTTATTTTATAAGTTAAGTATAAGATTCAAGTTTTTAAGTTAGTACCATAAGAAATTAATTTTTTAAAATGTACTAGACTAATGTGGGGGCATATTTTAGGATTAGTCAAGGAGGGATTAGTCTAGAAGTGAATGAAAGCTGACTCAAGGATATCCTAATTGTCAATATGAAAAAAACTAATATTAACTTTTTTTTCATTTTTTATGTAATTTAATGATTAATAGATGTATTAATTATTGATGACTTAAATAATTTAGTGATAATTCTTTTTTATTGGAAGTAGGAGTTTGAGTTGTAATATGTATAAGGTAAAATAAAAAATGAGAGAGAGTTATTTTTTGTTATACAATCAATATAAAAAAAAGTATATTAATTATATTCTTCACATGTGCTAAAGAACATAGATTAAAAAAAATCGTTTGGTTAATAATGTGCTCTCTTGTTGATTGAATATATTTAAACTGCATGTGGGATAAAAAAGTGCAAAAAGAAAAGAAAAGAGCATAATATTTTGCTATGTAAAAGGTTTTGCCAATTTGAGGATTAGGCTGCACGAGGGAACATGACGGTACTAATAATTGTTATTTGGGCTGATATGTTATAATCATGGGTACCTCGCACTAGAAAATGAGATTAAAAATAATTATTTTAATAAAAAGTTTAACACTTCACTGTGAAATGGACGACGTTACTCTAATGTTAGAAACGGTGTCAATCGAAGGATGACAATATAACGCTTTTCCAAAGTAGAGCGACGGCAACAGTGTACTTTCGAAGAGTAGAGGGGCGACAATGAACTTTTTTGGTGTACAGGGATGATAATGAACGAAAATGCATAGAACAAGGACTATAATTGGCTTTAACCTTTTTGGGAAAATGCTTGAGACAAATTTTTTGTATTATTTTTTTATAATTTTAAATACTATTTAATAATTGATACCTTTTTCATAATAATATATATGGGTTTAGAATTAAAATCTTCCAGCCAACACATGCTTTTTATTGGGCCACGTAAGCTTACTTTGGCTATGAAATGATTACCCCTCCTAAACCAACATAACGTGGCCCAATGAAAATGGAAGTGTTGGTTCGAGACTGCAAATGGCGAGTGTTCATAGCCTTTCTCTTGTAATTAAATTATCACTAGTGGACATAGACCCGATGTACGGAAAGCTGTCCTCAGTACGGAAGTCAATTGTGGTCCTTTTTTTTAAATTAGTATATTTCGCCTGACCCCAATGGCGCTGTCATCCGTGTGCCTTAGCGTTAGTTGGGGTAAATAAAAAAAATCAAAAAATAGATGAGTGGAATGCTAAACCAAATGAGTTAATATTGTACCGGGTATGTATATCAATTTTATTACTGAAATGATACATATTGGATATCAAAATTTTTTACGTATCATTTTGAATTATACATATTAGATATATTTTTATAAATTAAATATCAAATTTTAAAATAAGATAAGAGATACTAATATTTAAAACTATCATATTTCTATAAATTGAAAACAAGTTTAAAATAATCATTTTTAAACTCTTAACTTCTAATATATATATATTTTTCTTCCATTTACTTTAAATTAAGGGACTAAAAATGTATATATTTAGATAAATTTAACAAAATAATTGATAGAAAGATTAAAAAAAACGAAGAATGGACTAAAAAAATACATAAAAAAGTTAAAGAATAAAAATTATGTAAAACATTAAAGTTAAGGATCAAAAATAAAATTTACTCCTTTTAAATTTAAATTGAGTTGCACGGATGATTTTTTTTTTTATAAAAAATTACAATTGCAAGAAGCCCCTGTCCCAAAATGACGTCGTTTTACGCCAAAGAATCCCTTTTCATTTTTACAGTTTGTCAGTGTGTACCGATCGAAATTTTGATCAGTACATCAAATTTTAATCGAAATGATCAAATTTTAACCAAAATAAAAATTAATAATATACCATTTTGACCTACTTAAAAAATCGATACGTACCAAACGGTACGGAACGGCATTAACTTCTTTGTGCTAAACTCCACTAGGATAAAGTAAATTAACTTTTCTAAACTTTATTTTAAGGTGGTTTTATTAATTATAGTTTTAATAATTAATTTTAATATATTAATTATCT